AAAAATGATAATGAGAATTTTTGAGATTATTGGATGTCTGTGGTCGGAGAGGGGGGTAAAAACTAAAGGAAAATAAGAAAAATTAAAAGGTCTCTTCTTTCTCTTATCCTCGAATTTCATCTTAACTTTTTTAAAAATTAAATGTCTCATTTTAGTTTATATTTTTATTAATTTTTATTTTTATTCTTTTAATTGTTATTTATTTTGATTTTGCTGATTTTTTCAGTTGTTTTATTTTATTCAATTTCATATCTTAACATTTTATTTCATTTAATTCTTAATCTAATTTAATCTCTATTCTTTTTATTGCTACTTTTTGTATTTTGTTTTCAATTGCATCCCTCGATATTTTATTTCATATGTTTTTTTTTATCCATTTCAATCCCCATTCTTTTTATTGTTATTTTTTATTCTTTTCTTGATTTATTTTATTTTTCAATTTAGTACCTCATTATTATTTCATTTAGTTTTTATATCAGATTTAGTCATTATTATTTTGATTTTTTTTGTTTTGTTTTATTTTAAATTTTTGATGATTATAAATTTTGCTTCATAGTTTTTTTATATTTATTTTTTATGAGGTAATTTTAGTTTCATAATAACTAAGGTCACAAGTTTTAAAAATTAGTCATGTTTAATTTTAATTTTTTAATCTTTTTTAAATTGATTTTTTTTTAATTTTAGAATTCATCATTTAGTTTGCTTAAGAGTTGACATCAATTCCTTTTAATCAATCACAAACATAACATGTGGACTTGAGTTAGATTTTTTTGTTATTTTTAATTTTTTTTCCTAGTTATCCGTTAACATTTGCTTTGTTGGTAATTTGTTTTGTTATCAAATAAAATCATTAAGGTATTTTTAGAATTTAGAGAGTTATTTCAATAATATTATAAAATATTTATTTTTTTAATTATTTCTAAATTTTTTTAATCATATTATTAAATTAGCTAGAATTATTAAATCTATCCCAATCAATAACCCGGTTTCATTTTTTTTTTATTCCTTTATAAATATTATTATCAGCCGAACATTTATTTTATTGTAGAAAACTTTATCACATCTTAGGGTGGGGCGCGATTCACCTATTATTTTAATAACTAAGGTAGGTTGATGCATGTAAAATGCAGTTGGCGAGTCAGCGGTGAGTAGCTAAAAACTTATTTACATAGCATCATCATCTCTTTTAACGAGATAGGCTACATAGAATCCAAGAAAAAATTAGCCACCAAATTACACTAATATATGATTATTGTAGCTGTCTATTTTCATTTTTTTTCTTGATTCTATCTGAAATAATTTATGTATATTTTAATTAATTTTTACTAATTCTAAAATTAATAATCAAATAAATCTTTAATGATCATTAATAACTCAAATCTAAAATTACAAAAAAAACCTCTTAATCCTAAATTTTTACATCATCTATTTAATAGTTAATTGTCTATTTTTTAGCTTGGATTGATGGCAATTTGTTGTTGTTCTTGGACTGATTGATGTCTACATATCGCAATCATTTGTTAGTTATTTTGTTTTATTAGGGTTATATCTCATCCATGTTACCCTGTAATTTATTATATAGTCCTTGTTAAAGAAGCAATAATAATAATTTTTATAGTCAAGAGTTTTATTTTTAAGTATGCATGGTGTCATGCACGATCCTAAACGTTTCGAGTGATGCTTAATTTTTAAAAACTTCACTGATGTTTTTAATTTTTGTAGAGTCAACTAATCATGGTTTTCCCCCCAAAAAAATTAAGTTTTGTTACCCGAAACTCACAATTCACTAAAAACTTTAAGATATTAGTTTTTATTTGGCCATGATTTTTATTATTGATTAATAAAGAAATTGAATAAAATTATTGATATTAAATTTAGTTTGACTTGATAAATTTATTTAGAATTTAACTGGTTTATTTTTAAAAAAAAATTAATTTAAAATTAACTTGATTTAATTTAATTGAGTGAAGCTGTAAAGTGGCTCTAGTTTATGGTCAGATGAACGAGCCACCGGGAGCTTGTATGAGAGTTGGTTTGACTGCCCTAACTATGATGAAATATTTTCGAGATGTTAATGAACAAGATGTACTTGTATTTATCGACAAATTCTATGGTGATAAACTAAATAGAGTTAGTTATAGTGATCCTGCTACTGTGAAAAAATATGTTAGACGCGCACAATTGGGTGAAATTATACTCAATCTCATAGATACATATAGAATTATGTGGAAAGCTGTATTCAATGAAAGTCGTATATACTGCTTGGAGGGAGGTCTTTCATATCTTCAACTCCAACTATCGTCCATGTACTATCCATACTACCTTCTTTATGTTTTGATAGCCTATCTTTGTCTTAGTAGAGTCTTTTGGTGGCATGTTTCGTTCCTCTTCCCCAATACTTAGAAAAAGTGAGCCCCCAGTTTCAATTAATTCTTTTAAATTAAAATAATATTATTTTAATTTTATTATTTTTTAAATTATTTACTTAGCTTAACCTTAATTAACCAATCTCAAAATGGGCTTAATCATCATCGCCTAAACAAATAAAGTAGAGGCCACTTGAGAAGGCATCTTTTTGCAAAAAGCTTAATGGAAAAAATAATGGAAAGAAAAGTTCCATGCACGACCGCTGGCTCATTTTCATCACGCGGAGGCGCTTACAGAGAAAGTGGGGAACACGCTCGGCAAAGGCTTTGTTGTGGGTCCCCTTTGCAGGTGTCATTCACTTGATTTCATCATGGACAGCGCGTCGAATCGGACAATCTACAAAAATTATTCTATTTTTTCTCTTTTTTTAATTCATCAATGACTATGTTTTGCATTCTGGGTTTTTCTTATGCCCATCTTTTATTAGATTACTACAACTATGCCATTAAGCGGTGAATTTTCAAGTTTCTGTATAAAATTCGTGGGACAAGTTGGATGACACCACGTACTCGCTTAGATTTTTTTATTTTTTAATATTTATTTTTTATTTATCAAGTAAAAAATCTAAAAATTATTTATTAGATTCGATTCGATTATTAAATAAGTATTTATTATTTATTATATTTATTAATTAATAAAAATTAAAATAATTGATATATAAAAGGTATGTATAAGTATAATAAATGATAAGTATTTATGTATGCGTGTTGGAGGGGGGGGAGGCGGGGGTAAATATCAAAATATATATGTATATATTATATTGTATTAATAAAATTCAAATATTTTAAAAATATATTTATATTATATAAATATATATTTCTAATTATGTTTAGAAATATTTTGTTTTATTTATTATCTATTAAATCTAAAAAAAATATCAATTTATTCAAATCAGGTCGGTACCTAACGTATTTAAATTAAATTGTCTTCCTTAGGGACAAAGGTCTTTCCTTATTTTTTACAGTATTTTTGTTTTTCATTGTTATGTTTTATTTCTCATTAATGAGAGAAAAGTGTAAATTTTTCTTGGGATTTGATTTAATAGTATGAAAGTGACGTAGAATCTTGTCATGTGCTTGAGAATATTTTAATTTTAATATGTATATTGTATTTGAAATGGTAATAAAAAAATATAATTAAATTTAATACTTATTTCTTGAAATAAAAAATAATAATTAGTGCACACCCTAATTCTTTGAATACAAAACGAGCACCTATATTGATTTAATTCTTATTTATTTTTGTATTTAAAAAATTATTTTAAAAAAATTACTCTTTATTTTAAATTAATATTTTTTAACTTTTTCATATTTGTTTAATATATTAATATTAAAAATAATTTTAAAAAAATTAATATATTTTTAAGTGAAAAATACTTTAAAAAACAACTATTATTATAAAAACTTTAACCCATTAGTTAATTATATTTGAAATTAAAAAAATACTCTATAAATGCAACATGTTTTAAAATGCAAGAGTCTATCCATTTTTAATAAACAAATCAAAATAATACTGTTTTCATAAAAAAATTTAAAAAGTATTAATAATCAAGTTATTTTAGGTTTTTTTATCATCATGTTAATCAATTTTTTAATTTTTTTTTAACTTAAGTTAGTCCAAACTCGAATAAATTGGATTACTTACTGAGTGAGTCTAAATTTTAAAATAATGATTTACAGTATTGGTGCAATTTCAATGGCAAAAAATAACATTGGACAAATATTTTTAGAGATGATTATAAAAACTTTTATATAATTTAATCTGAATTTTTTTATATTTTTATAAATTACATTTTTTTTAACAATTTACATTTCTGCCAATACATTTTGTTTGATCCAAGATAAAAAAAAATATAATTTATAAAAAGATATATAAAAATAAAATTTAGAACAAACTATAAAAAAATATACATAATTATTCCATATTTTTATTTATCCTCACTCACCCGGCTCCATATTAGCTTTTCCCAAGTCAGAAAAGAAAGAAAAAATTTTAAATTCTAGTCCTAGTGTTTTATTGCGGTGTTATATATTTTTTTAAAATATTGTTTATCTAAAAATATATTAAATTTTATTTTTAATATTAATATATCAAAATAATATAAAATACTAAAAAATATTAATTTAAAATTTATTTTTAAAAAATTACAGTGAAAGTATTCTCAAATACAAGCTTACAAGATGTTTATGAGTATGATAAAAATTATATTTTAAAATATTTTTTATTATAAAATATATTAAAATAATATTTTATTTTATTTTTTAATATTTATTTTAAGTATATTAAAAAGATGTAGAGTTAGTAAAAAATATTAATTTTAAAAAATAATTTAAATTTTAAGAAAACAATAACCATCCTGTGAAATGTTTTTTTAAAAGATATTTAGAAATATAATAGTGTTTATTATTTAAAGTTTTTTTATCTATAAATATATTAAAATAATATTTTTAATTTTTAATTTTTTTACATTAATATATTATTAAAATGTTCTGAAAATATATAAAAAATATAATTTCTTTTAAAAGTTTTTTAAAATGTTAAAAAAAAGAAGCTATTGTGGTGAATTATCTCTCAGCTCTAAAAACAAATGGTTTTGCTGCTTGAAGTACTGGACACCACTTCTTCATTTTCTCCTCTCCTCTCCTTTCTTTGAGATCCAAAAGCACTTTTCGACAAGAACGTAGCTTTTGCTATCATTCTCCTCACTCGCAGCACTTTTCTTGTTTTTGAATTACAAAGAAGAAAAAAGAAAATTCCTTCTCTTTAGATTCTTTAAAATTGTAGTTAATCAGCTGGTTTTTGAAGGCAATACCTTCACCTTGATCTGTTCTCTCTCTTTTGCAGCTAATACTTCTTTAGTCTTCTCCGCCATTTTTCGGCCACACATTCCCTTTATCTTTTCCCTTCTTCTCTGTCTTTGCTTCTTTCAGGCTAAAAAGCCGAGTCCTTGTTCTTTGTTTTAACTCAAATTTGGCTGCTTTAATTTCAAGACTTGGAAAGTTCGTTTCTCTACTAATCCCTTTTTGTTATTTGTTGATCTTGCCATAATAGTGCATGTTTTATGTTCTGTAGGCTGTTTGATCTTCTGGAACTCCTTAGTTTTACTTCTATTTTTGTGATCCCAAGTTTTAGGTCTGTTTTAAGGTTGTTCGATCAGTTTTGGCTTCTGCGGGCTTGCGCTTTTCGTTTATACTGAGGTTGAAATTGGCTGGTCCTTTTGTTTGTGGGATTGGAGTTGGAGTTCTTACTCTCCATTGTTGATCTATCGATTTGAAGACTGTTGATGCTTTGTTGCTAATAAGATGCAGCCTGATCAGCGCAAAAAGGTAAAGAATCCAGTCATAGCATGTAATTTTTCTGAATGTAAATTTCCATGTATGTGATCTTTTTGGACAAATAGCAAATTGGTTTTTGTGGATTATAGAGGTGGTTTTCGATCTGTTTTTACTAATGTTACTGTCTGCTAAAATGCTTTAATCGTGCTAGTAGGCTAGGGATTGTTACTAGTTTCTTTTTTTTCCATGATCCTTTCATTCGGTTTTGTGATTCATTGTGTTGGATCTTTCTTTTTATTGAGTGCGCAATTCCTGAATGCTAAGGTGTGAAGGGACAGCTGTCATGTTCATGTCTAAGTTTCTTTGACACATGATTATGTTCACCTGTAGCAAAATTGTGGCTGGTTCCACTAGAATATTGCTATTTCCATGTTATGCAATTCTTTTTTCTATATATATAAAAAAATCTATGTTATTATACGGGAGGCACTGCATATCTTTAAATCGGAGAAGGTGTCAACCACAATTGTAATGGTGTCAAAGATAATGTGTAGACCAAATAATTGCTCTACACTCAATAATTAAGTTGTGGGATAACAGCTTAATTTTTGGGGAAGCAATAGTAGATTAGGATGTTAAATGAAGCAATTTGAGGTAATCTTTTCAAATGATTACAATGGCAACCAGAAGATACATGATATTTTCATGATCTCAAACATGTTTGCCGATGTAATGTGCGCATACACAGCACAAAATCCCTTGGAATGGTGTGGGAAAATTCTCTCTTTAATTAATATTGAAATTCAGTTTGGTTGTAATTACAAATTTCATTTGGAGTGTCTTTTTTTGTACATGATTTGGCTCATTTGAATGTGGCATTGCAGTCATCCGTGGATGTAGATTTTTTCACAGAATATGGTGAGGGGAGCAGGTACAGAATAGAGGAGGTGATTGGCAAAGGGAGCTATGGTGTTGTGTGCTCCGCATATGATACGCATATTGGAGAAAAAGTTGCAATCAAGAAAATCAATGACATCTTTGAACATGTCTCTGATGCCACCCGCATCCTTCGAGAAATTAAACTTCTTAGACTCCTGCGCCATCCAGATATTGTGGAGATCAAGCACATTTTGTTGCCTCCTTCCAGAAGGGAATTTAAGGACATATATGTTGTTTTTGAACTAATGGAATCTGATTTACACCAAGTTATCAAAGCAAATGATGATTTAACTCCAGAACATTATCAGTTTTTCCTTTATCAGCTTCTTAGAGGCCTCAAATACATACACACAGGTGATTAACTTAATTTCTTGACTGTTAAATTTTTAATTTTTTTCTTAGCCTGCTTTTTAACTGTATAGTTACTGACTTTCACTCAAGTGCGGTGCAGTATTGTTACATGCTGACACTCAGCATGTGTAGAAATGTAACTATCATGTATTTGCTGATTTATAATGATTATTCCTGCATCATGTTTAATTTTTTTATGGTCTTGTAGCCAATGTCTTTCACCGGGATTTGAAACCCAAAAATATCTTAGCAAATGCTGACTGCAAGCTCAAGATCTGTGACTTTGGTCTTGCAAGAGTAGCTTTTAACGATACCCCAACTGCCATTTTCTGGACGGTAGGTTTTCTCTCAGTTTGATGTAGCGTTTTAATTTCAATGTAGGAGGTTGCCCTTGATGGTTACAAATGGTGGTGGTTGTACATTTAGGGGTTAATTATTTCCTTTTCTTGTGATCCCAGGACTATGTTGCAACAAGATGGTACAGAGCTCCTGAATTGTGTGGATCCTTTTTCTCAAAGGTGCCAGAACCATTACCACCACCAATTTGTTACAAAACTTTGTGAATCTCCTTTGACTATACTGGCTTTGGAGTGCTTCTCTTGCCCTGCGTGTTTTTTTTTTGTCAAAACACAACTTGAAATTAGAATTACTACTTGCACGTTCTTTTGGGTATGCTATTAGATTCCAACTTGCTCCCTGTGACAGCTGTGTTAGTCATTACTTATGTTTTGTTTTCAGTATACGCCAGCAATAGACATATGGAGCATTGGATGCATATTTGCTGAACTATTGACAGGAAAACCTCTTTTCCCTGGGAAGAATGTAGTCCATCAATTGGATCTGATGACTGATCTTTTGGGAACGCCAACACCTGAAGCCATTGCAAGGGTATATTTCATGTTATGAAGTTTCCTTGAGACAGAACTGATTGTTTTATCTTTTACAATCCGTGTTTCATATATTTTTCCTTACATTTGGCTGAATGCTGAAGTGTTGGTATTATATGAACAGGTACGCAATGAAAAAGCTCGAAGATACTTGAGCAGCATGAGAAAGAAGAAGCCCATTCCATTCTCCCAAAAGTTCCCTAATGCAGACCCCCTTGCACTTCGTTTGTTAGAAAGAATGTTAGCATTTGAACCAAAAGATCGACCTACTGCTGAAGAGGTAAATCTTGATACCTCTTCATCTTCACCTTGATAACATGCTTTCTAAAAGAGCATATTGTACTGCATTTTATCAGGCTCTTGCAGATCCATATTTTAAGGGTTTGGCCAAGGTTGAGAGGGAGCCAACTGCTCAACCAGTTACCAAGATGGAATTTGAATTTGAGAGACGAAGGGTAACTAAAGAAGATGTACGAGAGCTTATATACCGAGAAATTCTTGAGTATCATCCTAAAATGTTGAAAGAGCATTTAGATGGTTCAGAGCCAACTGGATTTATGTACCCAAGGTATTGGCACAGTAAAATTAAGATTTGTAGTTTATACCATCATGCTTGTCAAAGCACATGCAGTATTCCATATGTTTGAAGTATCAATGCATGTTTGAGATTCCTCTCATATTCATGATGTTTAAATGTCCCTCAGGAATAAGTTTTTATGCTGTGAACTTTTTCATTGCAGTGCTGTTGATCATTTCAAGAAGCAGTTTGCTTACCTTGAGGAGCATTATGGAAATGGTGCTCCTGTTACTCCACCTGAGAGGCAGCATGCATCATTGCCCAGGTATCCCTGTTAATAACTTGTTTCAATGGTGCTTTGTCTTGTTGTGGCATGTTTTACATACCCCGCTAATATGTTGCTGCCCATTTAAATCTAGAATTTTGTCCACTGCTTTGACGAAAATTCATGCATGCAGAGCATGTGTATTATACTCGGATAATGCAATACAGAATTCAGCAGAAGTCACCAATGATCTATCCAAGTGTTCTATCAAAGAAATTGAGAAGCCACATGTAGACAGGAGTGGTGGGGTACCAATGACAAGGCTTCCTCTACAAGTTCCTCAAGGTATCCAAGGTTTGTAATAATTGTATTTTTGTTAACTACATCTATTCTGATTTTCTCTCTTTGATGTCTTACTGAATTTCTAGGAAATCAAATATTTTGTACTGCATTTGTGTTTCTCTTTCCCTCTCTGAAACCTGTTGACTCCTAAATTTGAATGAGAGACCACTCTGAACCTTGTTTGTATTTTTTTTATCTCTCGTCTGATGTCATGAGCTGACCAATTAGCTTATGTTTTCCTGACATCTTTCAAGTGGATTGGTTGGCATGACATCAAATAATTGAGTGAACGCTTACAGCTTTTAGGAAAGTCAATGAGGTTTTGCACCCAGAACCTCCAAATACATAATTCAGCATGAGAAATGATAGAGGTTATTGGAGTTCGCAAGGAATGGAGTGGTTGATGTGTATATAACATATAATTGCTTGTCCTTCATCAAATTGGTTGATTTTACTCCTCCTTTTGCTTTATCAGGATATTGCTGGTGTAACTTTGCATTTCCTTTGCTATTTGCTTACAAAAAAATGTTCAGAAGCACAGATGTCCTGAAGTTGAACGCTCAATCAATATGTTTAAAATCTCATGCACTTGCTTGCGACTTGATTATAGAATCCAATTGATTCAGCTTGGTATTTGACATGTAGAAATATTTTGAACAAATGTAGAGTGTTGCAATACAAGATGTGTGCATCTTTTTCTAAATTTCTTGGGTGAAAATCCATGGGCCAGGACATGTGCATTTAAGCAATGTACTGCTGAGCTTGATGCCTGTTTAGATTGCTACCTTTCTCCTCTCTTTCCTTTTAACCCTGGTTGCTAACCAGATGACACGTGTGATGCACCAATGATTGTAATTTGAATGCCATTCTCTACAGCAGGTGCTGCAAGACCTGGGAAAGTGGTAAGTTCGGTGCTGCGTTATAACAATTGTGGAGCAGCATCATCAGAGAATCTTGACCAGCGAAGGATGGTAAGGAATCCAGCTATTTCAACTCAATATACCACTGCGAACTGTTCACATCCAAGAAGAAACCCAGCCTGTAAAAATGAGAGAGGAGAAGACGAGGGGGTTGAAAGTTCCAATGGATTGCAGCCAAAGCCTCAGTATATGGCAAGGAAAGTTGCTGCTGCCCAAGGTGGACCTGGTAATCACTGGTATTAATCTGTAGCAATTCAATAGTGTTGACTGCCTGTGTCTGACCTAATGGTGGTGGTTATATTAAATCACGTCATCCCTGATCGATCTTCTGCCATGCAAAATACATCAGATTCAAATGCTGACATTTAGCAGTGCTGTTAACAAGCCTAGGTTCTTCAAAAGAAATGTCCAGGCCTTCCGGTGAAAGAAGATGAGCTGCAAGTTGTTAATCAGTGGATAGGATTCATGACTTGTTGCAGTCAGATTTAACTCCGTAACCAAAATGACAGAATGTTTGATACCTAAGTAAAGAACAAGGCAATGGGATTGGTTGACTAACCAAGTCTTTCTGTTTTCTTCTCATTCTATGCGAGATAAAAGTAAGTCGTCACTTTCTTTTCCCCGCTTTTGGGGTTTTCCTTCTGAAAGCTGTACCATTTTTCTATGTTATTTTGTGCTTGAAAGAGGATACTTGTTCTTTCACATGAATATTCGTCTCAACAAGGGGAAAATGTGGCTGTATTCACAAGGCCAATTACGATGCAATGAAATTTGTTGTTATTGTCGTTAAATTCCCTATCTTGAATTGCAAGTAACTGATGTACTGGTCATTGGATGCATTTTGGGATCCTCCGAGGACAGAAAACCCTCTACTTTGTGTCTTCTGTGCTTGACAGTAAGTATTTGGCTGTTTGTTATCTGTTTCTTTCGAGCACAAGCTGGTAAATACTTGATTGTTTCCGTTCAGCAACACTAGTACATAGACGTGCCTACCATCCACTTAATACAATTTGACCATGTTCGAAAGTATATTTTTCTAGAAAGTGATTTTTTTGAAAAATAAATTTTTAACATGTGAATTTTTTTATGTTTGCTAGTATTAGAGAAAATCAGTTGGAAATTTTTTTTTAGTATTTGATTATATTATAAAAATAAATTATTAATATTTTTTTAAGTTTATTAAAATAATGAAAAATAAATTTTATAAATTAAAAGAAAGAATAAAAAAAAAATTAAATTTTTTTTTTTATAAATTATCTTAAATAAAATGAATAACAATTAAAATAATAGAATAGAAAATAAAATAAAAAAATATAATTTTATAAATTATTTTAAATAAAATAAATAATAATTAAAAGAATTAGAATTAAATCTGATAAATAAAAAATTTTTATTAAAAAATAATAAAAAAATAAATAATAATCATAACAAGAACTAAAATTAATATAAAAATTAAATTAAATTATAAATAATGATTTTTTTAAAAAAATATATAGTAATTAAAAGTTTGAGAATCAAATTTGATATAATTAATAAATAACATGATATTTTTAAAAATTTTATAACTTCTAAAAAATATTTTTTGTTTAAAATAAAAAAACATTTTTCTAAAAATTAAATTAAATTTTTTTAATTAAAAAATATTTTTTATTAATTAACTTTTTTAATAACGAACAGTTAGATGAAAATTTAGAAATTTTATTTTGAAAAACTACTTTTCGTTGAATCGTAATTATGCGTGTAGATGTGTTGATTTTTAAAAATATTTTTTTATTTATAATATTAACATATTAAAGTTCTTGTTTTTAATATTAAAATATTAAAATTTTATAAAAAACACTAAAAAACGAATCTAGGAATAAAAACCACTGTACTTCCAATCTTTTCTTTCTCGTCAAATATTTCTGCTTTGAGGCGAGAAAAAACGAAGGATCTGCCTGGTGGCTTCTTTTCCCGTGACCTGTGAGTAACATCTTTGTCCAACTCTGGATAGAGACCAAAAGACGTGTGGTTCTCCTTCAGTAACGTCGCCCCTTCTTGGTCCATTTGTCGCTTTGCTATGCCCTACCTAGTTAAGAGACAAGCTATGTAGGAGACTGGTAAGTGATGGCGATGGTCAAGACATCATGCGTTCCATTCAACGTTGACGAACGATCAATTATTTCGCTCCCAAGATGCCTTGCACCTGTAAATCTTGACAATGGTTTAGAGAATCAGCCATGAGTAGTGGAATCTTAACGCGAAGTGCCATCAAGGATGGGTAGTAAAACTTATGGAGCTTGTTTTGCATGAAATACTTTACAAATAGAAAAGCTTTCCCACATAATATCTAATGGTTGCAATGCACCGGCGGTGGTGGAGCTGGTTTTGTTAAGATAGTGGTGGCGGTGGTGTCAAAATGAAGGTAGTGATAGTGGTAAGCATGATAGAGGAGATGTGAGGCTTTTAGAAGATGAATGACAACGGTGATAAAGTAATGATGGCTGGTAGACGGAGGCCGGCGGCAATGGTGGGACTCCATCCTCAGGATGGTAGAGTGGGGTTACACAGGTTGGATAATAGTGTAATTAAAAAATTATTGGATAAACTTCAATTTTGTCCCCTCATATTCCTTAATGTTCCACTTCTAGCATTATAATTTAAAATCTCCTAATGTTATCCTTCTAATTTTCTAAGACTTTCCGTATTATTCTAACCATTAAATAGAGCCTACTCTTTAAATTTTGTTTGGGAGCTTTTATATAGGTTTTGAAACATTTTTGTAAAGATATTATAACATTGACGTAGGCTTGAGATGAAAAGGAGAGAAGCAACAAATGATATAATAAAAATATGAAAGAACTATTATTTTGTTAGATAGGCGTGAAGGAAAAAATTGAAACTTTTTAAAAATTATAAGGGTAGCCGATAGATCTAAGAAAAGGTTGAATATGAAAATTTGAATTCTAATATAATTATGTTTATTGTTTAGTTTTATGTTATTAAATATAATTTTCAATCTGAATTTTGGATTGAGTTGAAAGTTTTCCAAATATGTTATTCCATATTATGTTAAAATTCTAGATTAATCAGAGTTTTAAAAAGTATTATAATACAAATCAGTAAAAAATATAAATTTTGTTATTTAATGTTTTTTGACTTGTTGACTTTCTTTTTAAAAATGATTCTTTTCCTAATAATATAAAAATATTCAACTATTAATATTACAACCTTTTCTAGTTTTTACAAGAATTTTAACGAACAACAATATAATTTTTAAGTGTAGCGAGAATTTTTTTAATGTTTCAACAAAAAAATTTGATTTTTTTTTCTTATACAATTTTATATTAACAAGTATAATTTTTTATTCAACTATTAAATCAGATTAACAAGTATAATTTTTTATTCAACTATTAAACCAGATTAAAATTAAATTTAACTAGACATTTCTCGAGTCCTTGTTTTCTACTGAATTAAAATTTTTAGATCAACCCGACATCTAGAACACCTTGTTATAAATTTCAAAAGCTATTGTGTGAAATTTAAATTTATATTAATTTTCTAATTGATTTATTTTTTAAAATTTTTTTTATTTATAACTCTTTTATTATTATTATTATTTTCAAAATTGTTTAGGGTATTTTTTATTTATTATAAATAAAATTAATAAGATTATAATTAGATTTTAGATTTTAAAGCCACGATGTTTTAAATAAATTTATAGTTAAATAAAATAAATGATCGAACTTATTAATTTTATGATATTATTCCTCGTACTCATTCACAACTTGCTAATTTTTTGAATAAAATTCCATATTCCAATCGTTGGTGCATTAATTCACATAATTAACTTTCTAGATTTGTGTGACCATTAAGCTCACATCAATAACAATGAAAAAAATTTAAACTACAGGGATAGAATTGTATTATTGATAAATCCATAAGGGTATAAATATAGTTTAATAGATAAATCGGGATATCAAGATTTTTCTACAGCTGCCAAACAAATATCACGAATAGGCAGGGTATGATTTCCGATAGAATCCTAGACTACGGCAAACGCCGAAATGCTCAGAGGACCTCCATGTTCTTTACATGCACACAGCAGGACATCCAGAAAAAAACACAAACGCCACACAGAGGAAGAGAAAATGATCTGGTTGGTATGATGCATGTACAACTTGACAGGCAAGAACATACGGATTCCAGAACAAGAAAATGAAGTTTGCAGAATTATTGAACAAACTAGCCAACGTACTAGAAAACACTTGACCAACAAATGAACCACTGATATTAAACTTTTCTTACAGTGAACTGTCAGTACAATCACAAAAATGTCTAAAGCCTAGCAAGCTCTGATTATTGTCCAGAGGATGAGGCATCTGTTGTTCCCATATCAATGAATCCTTTGCTTCACTCGCCTTCCATTCATATCGCTATCTACGTTATCATTTCCATGTGTACAAGCGATGACAGAATGCTCACCATTTTTGGCAACATATTGCAGTAGTTCCGTGATGACAGAAGGGCAACTTTCTTTCAAGTATTCAAATCCATCCGTCTGCATCACAGCTGAAAAGAAACCGCCAGCATTAGGTCATTAGTTATGCATTCATAAAAGGAAATACCCAACCAACAGTCACCATCAAAACTGAAAATATTATGCACGTACATGCATGCAGGAATATCCCGGGGAGGGGGGGGCCCTCAAAAGCATATACAAAAATATTAACTCACGAGTTCCCATACATCCCCAACAATACAACTCAGCCAACAAAGGGAAAGAGGATAGGGCTTCGACCAAACATGAACAAGTGCTTCGTTTTGGGAGTTTGGGAGCCATCTGGTTACGTGAACATACACCACATTCGCATGATTAAAAGATGAAAATTGCAATTACTGTTTTGACAACTAGTTAAACATCAGAGGGGCTGGCTGAGGAAATAGAACCGGGCTCTGTCAAAGCCTGGTCAATCCATGGATAAATCCATGTGACCTTTTCACTGAATTCTGTTCAGTGTTTCCTAACAAACAAAAAGCATGAGCACTATAATGCAGTAAAATTACTACTATACAGCACTTTTGCTTCAACTAAATGCTTTTGACTTCAAGACTTGAACCTGCAACTTTGAGGTTGCGGATACATTCAACACCATGGTCGTAACTATGTGATCAAGAAAGACAACCTTTTACTAGATATCAACAATCCAAATGAGGCAGAGGGAGGAAAGACTTGCCTTTCAAATTTTCAGGCAAAGCAATGAATTTGAGACAAACAGACTTTAGTTGGATGCATTGATGCTGCTCCGCTAGAGCTAGTGTTGTTGCAACAGTGTTTATGGCAACATCTTCGCAAAGTTTAGCCTCACAAAGCAATCTGAGCCTCTCAAGTGCATAGCGATCTGCTGCTGCAAGCAGATGCTGAGCCATCAGTGTGGAAGCCCATTTTGAGTTCAAACCAACAAGCTCCTCCATGTCTGGTAAGGCATCCCAGTATATAAAATGGATTAATGCCTGCAAACATCCAAACACGAAAGAGTTATATTTGCACAAGCTTGCCCATTCACCTTCTCTCTCTCTCTTTTGAAAGCTTATTTTTCGACAGTGTTCATTAAGGTACCAAGTACGCTAAAACCCAGTGGTTTTTAGCCTTTGGAATGAGTGTCATTTGGGTTTAAAGGGAGTGTGTTAAATTCCAGTAACATTTGACACCTTTAAGCCTTTCCAGTATGCTGTTAACCAAAAGAGCTAGGTTCATAAGAGGTTAATGGTGATAAAAGATATCATCAGCCTCTGCCATCATGATATTCCATAGCTATTGCATCAATATCACACCATAGGCATTTACACAACCAGGCACCATAAACATTTGCATTCTTAATAGTTTTTAAATCCTTAACACTTGCACCCTTAACATTTATGTTAGCTCCATACCAATCACCAGATGCTCATTAGAAGAATCCAGTTAACAAAACATTACCGGCACTAAACAGAATGGCAACATCTAAATGCAAATTAAAGAATCAGCAGTCCATGAGAGAGTTAAATGGAAGTGCAATGAGGCTGTTCTTCACCTGACCTCCCAACATAGTCAGTTCCCTTCTTTCAGTCCAATCCCATCCTCGCCTATTCTCAACTAAGGTAAATGCAGGTATTATTATAACCTGTGTGATTAAGTTGAATGTAATAGAATCATATAATTTTTTCCACAGAAACACATGCTTAGAAACCCAAAAACTACTGAATTCCAACAAGTATTAAGACAAGTAAAAACTGATTCATTTTAGAAAATCATCAGTGCATTTGTTGCAAGGAATGGAGATAGCACAGTGCTCATATCTTACTGTGATTCCATCACCTGATCTATTATGACAGAGCATGGCTGAGACATAATTCAGGTTTTTTTGTCAAGAGGATGTTAAAAAGAACAAATCAACTCTGGAAGTTAATCAGTGGAGAGTGTTATTACAATTAAGCAATAGTATTCTCAAGCTGATGCAATGTAATATGCAGCCTACTTGACTGGTAATGGACAGACTGCATATATGACAGGAAAAGCAGGAAGAGAAGCAGGAAACAATAAACCTTAGCTGGAGTGAGTAAGAATAAGGATAGGAGCAGTGCCTTGGAAGATGAATCCATGTGTACATTTGTGTATGGCACCACAATTACTCACCTAACAAAGGCAACCAACCAATAAAGCTACCTCTTCCCATGAAACTTATCATGGGATGCATGACATCTCATAACTGATACATAAGAAATTACTAAAACCTTTCGGTGCACAACAACATTCAAACATCAGAGACAACCTGTACTCTTATGCACGCTAGAGCCAAGACATCATAATAACTTGACAAGCACACAACTGCAGACAAATTTCACCTTTGCAGTCTAAAATATATTTAACAAGCGCGGTACCTTGTGTCTCCCTCATGAGTTCTCATTTCAGAATGTAATGCTTCCCACTGTTTTCCTCTTTTATTTAATCTCAAATAAAATGAAAAAAAAAAAACTTTACTGAAGGCTTTTGCAACAAAATTTAATTAGAATGCTGTCACAACCAGCACATGTTAGGTTCAGGACAGTATTCACATCTACAAACTTGCAGTAATATATTATCTGCTTCCTGACTAGCAGTTAAATCACACATGTTAGCTGTCACTTCAAAATGAATTAAGGCTTTTCCCATAACACTTTCAAAATGCCAGCATGTACAACAAAAGGCAAATGTGGCAGCACATTTCAAGCAAAAATCTGATCACAAAGAAAGGAGGCACAGCCATAAAAACACATACAATAGGACCAGAAGAAAATGAATTGAGGCTTTTGCAAATGAGATGTTACTTCCAGTCATACATTATCAAATTGTTTTTTGTGACGTTTTGGTCTGCGTGTGTTTGCAAGCATGCATGTGTGTCGGTAAGAGAGAGAGAGAAAACCTTAAAAACAGGAGCTTCCATGTCTTCAACTTTGATGCATTGGGTGTTTTGATCCTTCATTGGACCAAAAAGCTGTGCTCTAAACACTGGCGAGCGTGCTGCCAGAACTATCTTGTGTGAAGCACAGATTTCTCCATCAACTTCAAAATTTACATCTGTTCCCTTTCCACTGTCTAAAAGCTTTCCAAAATGCTGACCGATATTGGAAGGGGGCACAGCAATGGTGTAGGTCTTTGGTCCCTCAGTGTGGGACTTAACAACACCAACACAACAGCGAATTAATAGAGTATCATCTTTAAGAAAGTCTGAAGTCTCTAATTGAGTCCTTTTGTAAAATCGTTTATAACCCCTGCAGCATCCAATAACAGTACCCATTAAATTGTGTTTTTCATCCGCCACAACATCCACCAGCAATGAAAGAATGAATAAAAGATACTTGGACAGTATTGGAGGAGGTAAAAGAATTTGGTGCGAGAAAAAAAATGTTCGATTCTCAGAGAATATCCTTGTGCATTGCAATCACACGACCGACAAATAGGAACCAACATTTTAAAAAGGACAAAAAATTTCATGGAGTGGTGAAATATCAAAATAGGGAAGAATTCCATTTGCAACATTTTATATTGAAGAAGCAATGTTATTGAAATAAATAAGACTAAACGAAAAGTGCTTTATACACCTTGAGGATCAGGAAAAAGAAAAAAAAATTACAGTTAATTCATTTTCACAGAGAAAAGAAAGGAAAATAAAGTCATAAATCTCTTCATCATTTCTACAAAAAAAAGGAAAAACCCAGTAAATTCTCACAACAAATATCCATTAAACCATACACAACCCGTGAATATCATAACATATGAAGATTCGCAAAATTCTACTACACAAATACAATAATCAATCATAAGCAATAAGAGCACTTCGATCAATCAGTCATAAAAATTCAGAATTCGGACATTTCAGTCTCAAAATAAGAAAAAAACCCACCACATACTGCCGCGATACTTAAGCGTATAAGGACCACTCTCAAGGGCTCTTCCAAAATGGCTATGAACCTTATGCCTTTCTTTCCCACTTTGATCCATCAACGTCAATTCAAACAAAGCCCTAACATCAGTCCCCTCGCTAGCAAGAGCGATGAATAACGAGACATAAGAGGCATTATCTTCAGAACTTTTACCATCTGGGTAAAAATATATAGCCCATGCATAGCCACCGATGTAAAAAGTGTCCGATGCTACGTATTTGCCTATCCCCATGCCTTTTGATAGCGAATAGCCATCGACCTTGAATTCATGAGACCCATTTACGGTTTCCGTTATAGAAGTCGATGTTGTTGTTGGAATTGACGATGAAGGATTTAATGAGGCCGGTCCTGCTGAGAGGTATCTGCTAGAAAACCTGATTGTGCCCATCAACTATATATAAAAAAAGATATCTCTTTTTTTCTTGATTTTGGTGCTTTTAAGGTTCTTGTTGGGAGAATTGAAATGGGTCTGATCCAATTTTGGATTTTGAGAAAGATTTTTTTTTTTGTGGGTTTTGAGGGAGAATTAGGGTTTTTTAAGGTGGTTTTTTTGGGGGTAAAAGATCCAATCTTCTGAGGATTTGTTGGTATGGGGTTGTTTTAATAGGTATGAAGTTGTGAAAAAAGAAAAGAAAGGAAACGCTCTTGGTGGCGGTGGCGGTGCCGTGGCGTGATCGAAGAGATGGTGGTGGTGATAATAATTGAATGGAAAATGAAAGGTTTTATTTATATAGGTGGGCGAGAAATGAGAGAGTAGGAGGAGGAGCCCCTACGACTACGAGGGGCTATGACTACGAGATTTGTTACTCTTCAGCATGCTTAAGGCTGGTAAGTAGGATTAAAGATTGAAGAGAGTATTTGTTGTGGGAAGATTTTTCATATTGTTTTTATTTTAAATTAGTTTTTATTATAATTATGGATAATTTTAATTTGATGAATTTAGATGGTTAAGAGGTCAGGTTCAGTTTTATAAGTAAATTCAGATTAATTTGAATTAACTCAAAAACATTAAAAATATTTAAAGTTTTAATATTTAAAATAAAAAAATTCATGTGAATACACGTTGTAAATAATAAAATTTTAAAGATTATTTCAAAGTATTTAAACTAAAAATTTTTTTTATCTCATATTGAAAAAATATAACTTTTTTCTTATAAATATAGAATATATATACTAAAGAGTTTTAAATCTTCCATTAAAAAAATAATTTATTTCTTGTGAATATATAATATATATATTAAATAGCTTCAAATCCCACATTAAAAAAATATTATATTATTTTTTTAAGTTGAAGTATTTAAATAAAAAAATATTTTACATTGAAAAAATATAATTTTTTTCCTTGTGAATATAGAGTATTTATATGAAAAGGCTTTAAATTTCATATTAAAAAAATAATTATTTTATTGAAAATATAAAGTATATATACTAAAAGGTTTTAAATCTTATAGTGATAAAATATAATTTTTTTTAACATAGAATATTATGCAAAAGAATTTCAAATCTCACATTGAAAAAATAATTTTTTTCTTTGAAAAATAAAATATATATACTAAAAAGTTGCAAATTCATATTAAAAAAATAAAATATTTTTCTAATATTTATATAGTAAACTTTAAAAAGTGTTAACAACCAACTAAAAAAAATATAACAAAAAAGGATATAAAAGAAAAACCACATTTGAAAAAAAATAAATAAACATTGGGTTTCGTTCATGATCGTCAAGTCGCTCAAGTCACGGGAGAACCAAGTTTTGCTAGGTTATTGCACCGGGTGATCTTTTAACAAACTCGAACTAGTCTAACTATTGAGTTGGATGGATCTCATATTAACTTGCCGAACCAGTCCAGGTTTAATAATAATAATTTTAATGTTCTGATATTAATTTTTTTTTTTCAAATATTATTTTAATATATTTTTAAATAATAAATACTTTAAAAACAAACTACCACTACAATTCAAAACATTTATAAAGTGTGTTGTAATATAGTTGAAATTGTTTTTTAAAATATTTTATAAAATGTTTTTAACCTGAAAAAATACTTAATTATTTTTTTTAGATAATATTTTAATAATTTTAATATATTGGTATTAAAAAATTATTATTTTAATAATTTATTTAATTAAAAAAAACTTTATAACTTATATTAAACATACACTAAAATTAAAATTAAGAACATAATTGTTATAGTTCATATTTGTACCAAGAGAGATGCATGGTTTTCTATGTAAATTACATATTGAAATTCATGTACTTTCATTTTTCTCAATCATATAAATTCTGTTTGTTTTTATATTTAAGATGATTGTTTTAAAAAATTATTTTTTTATTTTTTACTTCAAATTAATAATTTTATATTATTTTAATGAATTAATTTAAAAAATAATTTTTATAAAATAAAAAATAATTTTAATATATTTCTAAAAAAAATAACATCTTAAAAAACCACACTATAAAATCAGATTGTCATTTGCAAGGTTCAAATTTATTTGATGAGAGAAGTAATCCAATAATTAACACATGAATTTAGTGATCAAATTAGAGACTCGTTAACCCGGTATCGATTTATACCAATCGTGTAATTGATTGCATCTCAATTTTTTTTTTCAAAACTATATTGGTTTAGGTTTAAAAAACACATCCTTTAAGTATTTTTTTTTATAAATAATACAATGACGTATTGCTTTTGACCTGGATTGATTCATTGACTTGCAGGTCAACATGCCCAATTCGTGGCTCGAGCTAGGCCAGGTCATGGGACGGGCCGGCTCGCTTAACCATGGATCCAATTGTCACGAAAGCAGGACTGTAGAGACATATACCAGCCACGCTACAAACTCCATCCGCACCCCTTCGTGACACTACAAAAAACATTCCAAACATTAAAAGCCCCGAATTGGGAATACCTGTTCAGATTCCAAATCCATGCCACACCTTCTCCATCTCCTCTCCACGTAGAAAACCCCTAATCCCCTCATGTTTCGCAGACTCTATTCCTCTCTCTCTTGCTCTAACACCACTCTCTCCTCTCCAATCTTTCACCCGAAAAAAACCTTTCTTTCCATTGACTCCAAACCTACCTCCCTCTCTCAACCTCAACGTTTCGCTTCAGCCCCACTAAGATTCTTTGCTTCTTACTCCAAAATGAGCGATATCCAGAAACCTAAACTCACTATTCCACCTCCCGATAAAGTCTCAAAGCCTGAAATGCTACGTGCCCTTGAGTTCTCATTGGGTTCTTCCTTCAGTACCAACCCAATTTCCCCCCCTCCAAATCCTTTGATCATTGTAATTAGTGGTCCAAGTGGGGTTGGAAAAGATGCTGTTATCAAGAAATTGAGACAAGTTAGAGAAAGTTTGCATTTTGTTGTGACTGCCACTAGCAGGCCAATGAGAGAAGGGGAGGTTGATGGTAAAGATTACTACTTTGTGTCAAAGGAAGAATTTTTATCAATGGTTGAGAGAAATGAGTTGCTAGAGTATGCACTTGTGTATGGAGATTATAAAGGTATACCAAAAAAGCAAATTAGGGAGTTTATGGAAAAAGGGCATGACATAGTTTTGAGAGTTGATGTCCAAGGAGCTGAGACTTTGAGGAAGATTTTGGGGAATTCTGCTGTCTTTATATATTTAGTGGCGGAGAGTGAGTTGGAACTTGTGCAGAGGTTGATTGATAGGAAGACTGAGACTAGCGAGTCTTTGCTTGTGAGAATTGCGACTGCGAGAGAGGAGGTCAAACATGTTAGGGATTTCGATTATGTGGTGGTGAACGGTGAAGGGAAGTTAGATGGTGCAGTTAAGTTGGTGGAATCTATTATTGATGCTGAGAAGGCCAAGGTCCGGCAAAGGAGGGCTGTGATTTAGTCGAGGGCTTAAAGTGTTGTTCTCGAGGTATGGAAGGTGCTTTCAGTGATTATGCTTTTCTATTTCTATTTTTATTTTGTGCGGTATTGAATTATTTGAATGCATTTGAAGGTTATAATTATGGATTTTTAACGCATGGGAATCTGATCGTATGTTCGAAGGTCAGAATTGGATAAAATTCGATCTTGCACTTTATGATCTTGTTCTTTGTTATTTTTATTCTTTTTGGTATATAATCAACCATTGGCAGAGGCCCACTGTGCATTAGGAGACATATCGACTTTAATTGACTTGTTTAGGAACTATACTAAGTTGTTCACTAACACAAACTCAACAAAGCCTTGTTCCGAAACTAGTGGAGGTCAGATACAATGTATTGGAAGAAGAAGCAGTTTAGTATAACAAGTGCATTATATCGAAAAAAATGCTCCATAATAGTTGAACTGGCTGTTCTAGAGAGGTGAATGTATTAGGATTGCAGTTTAGAGGAGATTACAATGTTTTTCAGATTCTTGTTCTATAGTCTAGAAGATATTACAATTTGTACTATATCCATCTGCAGATTTCGGTTGATGTCTGAACCTGGCATCTCTAGTTGTTTCTTTCTCCTCTTATTTGTAGGTTCATTCTTATTGCAACTGTAATGAATATCCTGATGTTATATAACTGCACAGCTGTGTCTTTGAGTATCCTTGTCTTGCAACAGCAAGCCTTTCTAAGCATTTTGCTTTGGTTTGGTTAAGGATAGATCACATCTTTTATATATCGCATGGATAATTACAATTACATTCATTGTTACTGCTTTTATATAACCAGAAAAAAACTTTTTGCAATAAGACATCATTCACCTCTCCTCGTACATTTGGAATAGGCTAGCATCTTGATGCCATTGTTTTCAGACCCATTTTTTATCCTGTAAAGTCACCTCTTGGATGCCTCTTTTGAGTTATCATATAACAGGTTAAACTCTGCAATAGAAGTTAAAATGGAACTTCAAAAAGTATGTGCATTTGAAAGAAATCATTGTCTATGATATGATAATGTGAATGCATGCTAGAAGGCTATGATGGGGTGGAGTTCAATTGTCCTGTTTATGGTTTTGATGGATTCTGCTTCTGTACCCAGGAAAATCCTAATGGTTTTCCCCTGTGAATCTAACCAAGCATAGGAATTAACCAGAACATAATTGACTGGACTTAGTGTCCCTTTCCAACTTGTTTATCTCTTGTTCAAACTAAATGAAGCTTTTAATTCTCAAACTAGCAGAGGTCAGCTATGATGACGCAGATTGAAAGATGAATGGATAAGTGTATTGTACCATAAAAGATGCACCATTAATATTGAATTATTGTTCTAAAGAAACAAGTGTACAAGTGATTATAATGCTTTGCAATTCCTTGTTCTATATTCAATTTTTTGTAAACCCAGGTCGGTGTTCAAACCAAGCTGTTCTAATGTGTTCTCTCCTCTTATTTCAGATATATTATCCTTGTTGTATCTGTAATGAATATCCCTGATATTATAATTGAGTATCCAGGTACCAATGTCTCAAAATCTGCATGTCAGTTAAGTGTAGTATCAATGCTAATGTATAGCATGGAGTATTGTCATCATTTTTACTGTCTTAAGATAATAAAAGAAACTTCTTGCTATTGAGATATTCTCTCCTCAAACATTTGGAATAGGAAAACACAAATTCCTTGATGCCATTTAATTCTGGAATGCCATCTTATATCTGTGAAGTTTTTTTCATATGCTCTATTTTTGCAACTCAGTCAATGTTACATGCTAGAAGTTGAGTGGTTGGTTATGCTGGTGGCAGCTTGATCAGTTGGTCTGTGAAATGTTTTTTAAATGAAATTTGTTCAACCTGTTTTTCTGATAAATTTTAGTGAAGTGGCCATCTAGGCATCTACTGATTTTTTTGTTTGAGCATCACCACTAACTGCATATAATGAGAAGAAATGCCAGGGAGAAACCAAATTTTCTTTGACAAACTCCGTTTTTAATCAGACAGTGTGTTAGTCCCTAAGTTTTTATTGGATGTTGTTAAGAGTGAGACAGAAATGCATAGCCAAGATGTGTAGCCTACCTTTCAGAAAGTTAGATATTGTTTATGAATTACTTTACCTCCATAGCTTTTGGAAGAAATGAGTCATTTTTCCTAAGAAATTCTCGGTTTGGATTACTTAATCTTTGCTAACTTCCTCTATGCCTGAACTAAATATGGCCTTTGTTTCCTTGCAATTAGATGATTTATCATGGGAAACAAATGCAAGAAGTTTTTCTCATAACATTGTTTTTTCTTGTAAATGATTAGTATTTTCATCTACTCCTATTTTTTTTTTTCTTGTAGGAGGTATGGGACATCAGAAGTAAAAAAATGTTGGTGATTAAGTTACTTTAGAAACTTGGCTCGAGTAATTTGTAGTCAGGAAATATCTTGCACATGGACAAGTATTCAGAACGGAAGTTGCAAAATCTGCCATTACGTGAGAAGAGACATTAGTGGGAGTGGGAATGGATCTGTGTAAGTTTAATGGAGCTCATCTTAGCTTGTGGTTTAGGCTTAGGTGGATTGTGCAATAAAAGGAGAGGAAAACATAGGAATAGGATAATTTTATTTTACCATTTCAAAGTCTATGTTAGCACTCGAAGAAGGAACCTCCTTTTGCAGTTCATCAATACAACTTGTTATCCAGTAATGCTTTCCATTTTTGTTGAAGATCACTTGTAGAAATTGAATTTTACCGAGCAATATCCAAGTGGGAATAAAGATTATTTTAGGTGTCAGATTATTGTAGTTGCTTGTTTCTGGAGCATTGCATCCATTTCAAAATCTTGAATTTGCAGCATGCTTTTATCTGTTGTATTTGATGGCTGATGAAAGTGATTTGAGCTTGAAAAATCTGCACAAGATAAAAGCATTTCTATTCAGAATGACAAATTTCAAGTAGCCGGAATGACATATGGATCACTGATCGATTTCTCAGCTAGCTGAATATGGAGCTCTCATTTAAGTCGAAGTTTGAGTTGTTTTAGAGCCAGTTGTTTGTTTTCTTGTGGTGTACTGCAATATCAAAAGAAGTCTCAGGCATCTGTCATTGTGTGTGGAACAATGTTAGCATGTTTTTTAAAAATATCTTTTCGCTTAAAAAAACATTAAATTAATAATTTTTTAATGTTTTTTAATTTATTTTGATGAGCTGATATTAATTAAAATTTATTTTAATATAATTTTAAAAGGAAATATATTGTACCAGCTGTCAGCAAACTGCAATCTTATATTTTCCAATCTGGATCTTAATGTGGAACGATTTCATGGAAGAATCCATTGGAAAACACGAAAATTAAAGCAATAGGAATTGTTAGTCTCTGTGCAGTTGAAGGTCCTTTTTCTTGAAATTTTTGTTTTCCACAGGGCGACTGTGGTTTCCTTGATCTTTGTTGTCATTCTGGCAAAGATTGGAACTGGTTTCCTTCCGTCATAGTCCTTAATGTTATCCAAGCATTAGCTCGCACCTCTGAAGATCACACGCAAACAGCAACGTGATAAACTTGCACAATCATCGAGTGGAAGCCAAGGCTTGGAAGTCTTGAGGGAGGCATTGCCAACCCGGTTCATTACACCCACCGACCTTACTTATGTGCTTTCTTTAATGATGTTTTGACGAAGGTAAGGTCTACAAGTCTTTTAAGGATGAAAGCAAGTCTCTTTGGTTCCGTGTTTTGCTGGTTTGGAAACATGTTTTTTTATTACCAGAATTCAATTTTTATATTGTTTTGATATAGTGATGTAAAAAATAATTTTTAAAAATTAAAAAATATTATTTTAATGTATTGCTATATGAAAAATATTTTTAAAAATAAAAAATAATAATTATGACTAATAATATTATAAAAAAAAAATGAGAAAACAATTATTAATGCATTTTAAACAGAAGGTTTTTTTTATATATAAAAAAAAACGCCTAGCTATTCTTGTAGTTAAAGGGACAAGCGAGGTTTCGGGTTCCATTATCCCATTGACATTGACAGGACCCTTTGCCTTGACACAAGGAGACTCTTCTGAAAAATGTTTCTGCGAGTTGCAGAAACCCAGCCAAATTGCTAAGTTCACGCATTCAAATACCTCGAAATCAAGAATTCAGAAGATGGAACAGGTCAAAAGGGACAAATTTTAACCCATCAAAAACCCTTTTTCTTAAAACGAAAAAACAAAAAAACCAAGAAATCAAACTGTAAAAACCAAGACTATACATGATCAAACTGAACAGAACAACCTCTTTTCTTTTCTTTTTTTCCTTAAAGAACAACAGCTTTGATTGAAATAACCCGATTTTTTTTTTTTTTTAATTTTTGACCCTTTTGAACTTACTCAGTTTTAACAAAAACAAAACCGAATTAAACCAAACCAGTTATTTGGTTCTTCGGTTCAGTTGAGAATTTCGAAAAAGACATTCAGTACAGTTGAGTTTTTTCAATCTAAACCGATACTCACAGTGAATTATGGGGTGGTCGAAACTGTAGTTTTTTCCCTGGATAAAGCCATAAAAGACGTGTAGAAGTAACATCACCAATATCTTATCTCTCAAACAGGAATCATCCAAGGAATCTGAGTTGGCAATGATTCCTACTTGTTCCCATGAAGTGGAGAAGACCTTCATAAAAAACAATAGGATAAACTAAAGGCTAGCTGTATACATTAAACAAATTGAACCATACATTATGGAAAGACCGAAGGACATGGAAAAGTGCAAGCAACTTCTCCAGCAGCCATTGCACACTATAAAGGGTCTGTTAGCTTTAAAGATTTGGTTACGAGTAAAGGAAGCTTTTGGCCAAGTTTAGACGATCCGTCAAGAGACTAATTTACTGTTAGTGGGAGACAACCGACTTCAAACCATCACGGAGTAGAGAAAGAGATAGGAGAGAGAACGACCCTTGCCGCCCAAGTCATTAGGGGGGGGGGGGGGAAGCTGAGCAAAACTTCCTAGTTAAAACTGCAGAAATTGGGTAACTTTTAACGTTTGTTTACATTTTCACAAAATAAACGTGCTTCCTAAGCTGATTCTCTCTTTACGAGCATAACTTCTCATTTTCTCAGCCAAAGCTCAGACAACAAGCCCTTCGATTCCATAGTTTAGGAATCAAGCCATTCTTGCATTTTCTAAGGCAAGTTTTGCAATAGAACTGCCAACCAAAGGTTGGTGTTGGTCTCATCTTGTGGATATGGATCGTGGCGTATCGGCAGAAGATGGCAGCATTCGTTTGCCGGTTGATGAGCTTCGCAGGCTCAGCGAAAGCTATGGCTCTGCAACCATTTTCGAGCCTCGGAGTGGCATAGAAAATAGAGACAGTGGCAATGGCGATTTTCTTTCTCCAACATTACCAGCAGTACGTGCACCGGAGAAGAAACTCACTCTCTTTGCTCTTCGCGTTGCAATTTTTGAGAAGGCAGCTACTGGCCTGGGAGCCCTCGGGTTTATCTGGGCAACAGTGGTTCTTCTTGGAGGTTTTGCAATTTCTTTGGATAAAACAGATTTCTGGTTTATCACCATTATCTTGTTGATCGAAGGGACTCGAATATGCGGCAGGAGCCATGAGCTTGAATGGCAACATCAAGCCACCTGGTCAATTGCTGATGCTGGGATCAAAAGTTTCTGGGCATTGAGATCCAGCTCACGCTTTATTGTTGAAATTGTGAAAGCACTTTTTCGGTCAATAACACGAGTTCGAAAGCAGAGTCCACATGGCAGAGAAATAAGGGAGAATCCTGATGCAGCAAGGAACTGGGATGGCAGGAGGAAGCTAAGTCGGACATGGACAAGTTCAGATGTTCCTATTCTACCATATGCTCAATGGGTTTTTCTTTCAAGAAATGTCAGCAGGGTTCTCTACTGGCTACAGCTTGCATCTGCATCAGCCTGTGTGGTTTTGTCATTGATGAAACTCATCAAACATAACTATGGTGAGATTGAGAAAGGGGATACTGACAAGAGGAACCTAAAAGCTGCCCTGAATATTTTCTACTCTTTGGCTTTAGCGGAAGCTCTTTTGTTCCTGATGGAAAAAGCTTACTGGGAGTGGAAGGTAAGCTACTGTAAACTGTTGGAAGAGGTGAGAAAAGAGTGTGATTTGGGGCTTTCAGGCTCGGTTTCAATCAGAAGGTTCTTATACGATGCCTACTCCAGGTGCGTTGAGGGAAGCATCTTTGATGGCCTGCAAATGGACATGGTTACTTTTGCTATGGACCTATTGGCTTCCAATTCTGCCGATGAGCAGCTCATTGGAGCTCGGGTCCTTTGTCAATTTACAATGAATCCTCGGTTTTCTGATGATACTCTCCAAAAGATTGGGACAAATATATCGGTGATAGAACGATTAGTGGAGATATTGAACTGGAAAGACCCACAAGAAGAAGAGATCAGGAGGTCAGCTGCGGAGATACTATCAAAACTAGCCGGAAAAAAGCAAAACTCCCTACGTGTCGCTGGAATTCCTGGTGCATTAGAGTCAATCTCATCTCTTCTCCAAACCAATAGAACCTTCAGCACCACGGCTGATGAAATTGGTGAAAAGACAATCATCCGTGATCATGCACATTACGGATTCTGGACATTCAATCAGTTAGGGCTTCTTATCTTGAAGAAGCTTGCTCGTGACCTTGATAACTGTGGGAAGATTGGAAATACAAGGGGCCTCCTACCAAAAATCATTGATTTCACACATGCAGAAGAGAGGTTGTTGAAAGATGAAAATGTCACACCATCTCAGATTTTGACAGTGAAAAGTTCTCTGCAACTGGTGAAGATGCTGGCAAGCACGATAGGCACTACAGGCAATCATCTTAGAAGAGAAATTTCAGAGATGGTTTTCACCGTCAGCAACATTAGAGATATTCTACGGCATGGAGAAAAACATCCAATGTTACAAAAGCTCGGCATAGAGATATTAACCAGTCTGGCACTAGAAGAGGATGCAACAGAGAGGATTGGGGGAGCAGGTGGAGTTCTTAAGGAGTTATTCAACATTTTTTTCAGCCAAAGAATTCCTGAAAATCAGAATCATGTAAGAATTGCTGCAGGAGAAGCTGTAGCAATGTTGGCCTTAGAAAGCAGAAGGAATTGTCTTCGCATTTTGAAATTAAGAGCACTGGAAAGGCTTGTTGGAGCACTAGAGGTCCCATTGCTTCGGGTAAACGCTGCAAGAATTCTACGAAACTTGTGCACCTACAGCGGCTCAGATTGCTTCGACCAGTTGAAGGGAATCACAGCTGCTGTACCCACGGTAAGTGCCTTCCTACTGTAGCTAGAAGCTGATTCTAGTTTATTTTAACATAAACTAATAGATTTCTATCTTTAGAGAAGGCATGAGAAACGAGATTTCAATGTGATGTCATGTTGCAGGTGCTGAATGCAGTTATGTCAGAGGAGAACAAACTACAAGAAGTAATGGTTGGCCTAGCGGCCGAAGCTTTCAAATTCATGACTTCTCAAGAATCTAGCACCATGTTTAATAAAGCTGGAATAAAGGAGGCTGAATTAGCTAACAAAATACTCCAGATTCTCAGAAGGTACCAAAATCCATCAGTCAAAGTTCCAAGAATAAGAAGGTTTTCCATAGAGTTGGCGATTTGGATGATGCAAAACAACGCAGCAAATGTGCATACTTTCAAAGACTTGGGGTTGGAGAAAGAATTGGAGTGGGTTTTAGAATCCACGGCCGAAGTTGAAAGCTTCAACATATTCTCCGGGACTTTTGGGCTGAGCCGCCACAGCACAACTATTCACTCACTGGTTGAAACTGCAATGCAGTTGTTGGAAGACAGGTAAAATTGTGCGGCAGAGACTTCCAAACAAGGTACTCTTGTGAATATGAAAGCACCAAGTTATAGGAGATATCTTTTTTTTTTTCCTTATGTAGACAATATGCAACTGTATAAGCTATGCAAATAATGGAATCAAGTTGTTGGTCTTTACCAGCAAGGTTCTTAATGGGATCATGTTGCATTTGCTAAAGAATATTTTATGATCAATTACAATAAAGATAAATGCAACGTACAATGGAAATGAGGAACTATAATTCTGAGGGATTATCATTTATCTACATATTTATTTCAAAATGCTCAGATAAATGTAATAGAGAGAGGCCCTTCTTAATGAGATGATCTTTCTGTCTTCCCGTAGACAGAATTGTTAATAAAGCAGGAAAGTCTTGCAGAAAATTATCAGACTGGGACAATTTCCATGTTCGATGCCACAATAATTACAAATCTTTAAGTCACATAATATTTATAAAGATTCAAGATTCAAGTTTGATAACGTAAGGCTGAGTTAGAACTGAAATGCCCGACTTGTAATCATGCTAACAAGCTGCCAGCCTAGCTGAGAACAGGAGGAATGCGGAACGACATTTCAGTTTCAGTACATAAGCTACCAGATCTGATAGTTGTTCAAATGATTTCATCTCGCTACCAAAACATCAAAACAATGAGAAATAAAAATGATATTAACAGGTGTGTATCCCTCCTGATCGAAAGTAGAAAGAATCATTACCAGCCTCATATCAAGTGACTGTATACAGCTATTTGGTAATCAGGTAAAAGCAACTTTAAAACATCGAATCTATTTTCTTCCTTCTGTTTTTGCCTGTTGTACAGCACTGAATCGTGACACTATCTTAATTACAAAACAATTGATCATGACATTCTTGAAACATAAAATATCATTTGGTTTTCATCGACCATTTCGGAACAAGTTGAAATCCCAGCGACGCAGCAAACCATCCATAATGTGGTTTGCTGGATTCCGTTCTACAGTCAATGTAGCTTTTGTATTACCTGACAAGTCAGTATCTGTAGAGCCACGGATGCTTCCTGAAGCATCATTGCTAGAAGAGGCAGTTATGCTTTTTGATTCCATTATGGAAGGTGGATTGTCAAATGGAGTTACTACAGATGATGCACTTGTATCGGGAGAAGGATCTAAAGTTGCTAAATTTTGGTGATTGACAGCGGAAGAGGAAGCAGATTCTGTCTTTAAGGGCACACGTTGCTTTACTGAAGTGGGAGGTGGTCGTGTCTTCAAAGGATTGCCGAGTTCTCCAATTGAATATGCATCCTGATTATCTTTTTGTGAGGATTTAACAGAAGCAGGACTGAAACTGGTCAGTTGTTCCTCTGCATTGGGGTGTCGCAGCTCCAAGTCCTTTAATGACTCAATTACTGCTTCCATGAACATCTGAAATATGCAGAGCAATTCAACTTTCAAGTAGAACATCATTTTGCATATACAATGTTCAAGACTCACCCTTTCTTCCTCCTCCATATCACAAGGAGAACCTGCCAAGTCATCCAGCTGGTATTCTACATATTGATCATCATCCATTGTTGTTGGAACAGGTGGGCCATGAGGATGAGCCCTGGAGAATTCAAAGGTAATCATTTTGGATGATGATGGCAAATGATAATCACCAATTTCTTCACGCTGCAGCAAAGCATGCTAGTGTTAAGTGTTGAAAAAAATGAACTTCAGTCTCTAGGAAAGGGAAAGGGAACACAGCTCAGGTCATATGATTCATAGAGCGAACCAGCTGAACAATGTGCTAATCAGTCACTAGCACCATCTGTTGCAAAGGGCAAGAGGATACCTCAACTTCAGCTTGATTGTCTTTATGTTGATTATCCAAAGGAACCTGAACAGAATGTATAAAGTTCAACATAATACAGACAAAAGAGGCAACCACTCCTCCTTCCTAGTTTAGTGAAATTAAACTAATCCCATCCACATCATTATCCCCATGCAGTGCAGGCAGCATTACATGTGTTGAGTTTCATTAGTTTTTTGTCCTCCCCCCCTTCTGCAGGAGCGCATGGAGAAAGGAAAGATGAGGATCATAAGAAAACTAAGCACTCAAATCTAATACCCATCATACAGGACAATAGTTACACTATGGAGCAGTTAATTAAACATACGGTGCATCATACAGGCCTTTGACCTCTACACTAAGAATTTTTTTAACATTTCAAGCAAAGAATACAGCATATAATCACTGACCTCTATCCGACTCATAGGTTTTCTGGACCAAACTTGTTCAATTGCATCTGCTGTGCTGCTTGATGATGGTACTACAACAAATAACAAAAAGATAGGACAACGAAAAAAAAGCAGGAAAATAAAGCTTTGACAGAAATCATCTTAGAGATGCTAATAAGAATAAGGTAAATCAGTCACACCTTCTGATACAACTGGCAATTCTGGGTCACAGCCTACTTCATGCAACGAGCTCCAACTATCCTGAAAGTACAAACAACCAACAATTGGCAAAACAGGATAGTAGAAATGAAATGTAGTGCTTCCAATAATATCATGCCCTACAACAAGATCTATGTGATTCAATTTACCTTACCAAAGTAATCATGCACCATTTCAAAGTATGCCCCCCCCACCTCATCCTCAGGAGGTTGCAAAACATTGTGGAAGAAGATATTTAATGAATCAAAATAAAATTGAGGGCGTGGAGAGTTGTGATCTCCCTCAAACTTGATAATGTTCTTGTCACCCTGCAAAATTTGCACATTAAAAATCAAGCTCACAGAGTATCATATATACAATCCAAGGCAACAAAAATTATCAAACCAAATGCAGGAGTTTCAATCAACAAAAAATGAGCAGCATACAACTCTCATTTGATGAGATTTTAATTAAAATCAACGTAATGGATCTTTGGGAATCATTCCTCAAACAAGAAACTTTGAAAAAACACAGCATATACTCAATATTTAGCTGTTGATCAACTGTGTCCAGGGTGGCTTCCCAATTGACCTCGGGCTAGAGATTTGGAATAAATTCAACCAAGACTAGAACAGATTTCATCTATCATTTGTTAACACTAAAGAATTTCAATTTCCCGTGATTACAAACCTGACAAAATGCCAAGCATTAGAGCAAACTTCAAGAAAAGTAAATTTCTATCTGCAATTGAGCACAATTACTTTTGAATGTTTGCCACTAAATGGAAGGAACTTACTACGTATGCTTCAAATATTCGATCTGAGTGATAAGGGCATATGAAATCATCATCAATGGCATGTCCAAATAAAACTGGAACAAAGCATGATTTTGCCACCTGTGATACAAAGATGAATAAAGGAGTTATATTCTTCAATAACAGGTAAGGTGATAAAATTAGAATCTGCACATTGAAGTGTGGAATGAAAAAAATATGAAGTTTGGATACAAAAAGCAGTTGAGGGAACAACCATTCAACTTTTTCATTCACTAAAAAAAAACTGTTTGCTACTTCTCACATTTCTTTAGTGAAAAAATCCACTGGAATTTTTATAGTTTGGTAACTGCTCCAAACCAACCTGCAACTATCATCACATTGATGAAGCTTTCCCACCATAAACTTAGTAAAGTTGGACAGGTAAAAATTAAAAATAAAGTGGCCAGTCACACACTAATGCATCCCATAGAGACTAAAATTTCAATTAAATGACTTGGTGATTATTGTTTACTCTAAATCATGTCTTAGCTTTCCATTTTGACCAAGTGGTTGTCCCGTACCATGAATAAATTAAAATAAAATATGAAAAGATAAGACAGACGTCTGAGATGGGACTAGTATGAACATGAACAAAGTTATAATTGAGTTCTAGTTATCATCCAGAAACTTCAGCTTGCAACACCCAATAAAGAAGTACAAGTTGCAGGAGGGAGAGAACCTTAATGGTGTTCAGGTCCATTATGTCAAACTTTGCCTTTTTCTGAATAGATTTACGCATGTATTGGATAGCAAATTTCACCTAGAACAAGTAACAAAAATAAACACAGTGAGACAACACAGAGACAAGACTAGAAAACCTAGAAGAATATTTGTGCACTCATCATTGCATCAATTATTAATACATGTGCATAGTTCAGACAGTAAATTACAATACATGTAAATGGTTTAAAGAGTCTGATGGATGTGATTAGGGAAAAAACAAAGATGGGTAAAAAAATCATTCATTACACAATGAAAGGTGTTACTTAATGACAAAACTGACCTACTAAAACATTGACACAACAAAGAGTGGGTGTGTAATGAAGATAAAAGTTAAGCTCCATGATGGGCAATTCAGAATGCCAGAACCATTAAACATGGCCACACAAAAAAGTTGCTAGACAAGCAATTTTAACGTTAAAATAATTACCACCATCATTTAGGCACAAGTAAAATTGAATTTTAGTAAGAGCAAGATGAAATAATTACAGGGTAGAAAGAGTTGTTTCTAATTAGCCATCCAAATTCCAAGAAAAGCCAAAAAGAAATGAAAACTAAAGAACAAATATATCACAGTAATAAAATCAGGGGCAAAGACTTCTCTGGAGATCTTCTAATGAAAGAGGCTCTCTATATACATAAACTTTCTGCAAACTTGAGTCAGCAGTGGTGATTGCAAGAAAAATGTCACTAATGCAGTTTACAATTATTAAGATTGCAGGAAGATTTTGTAATGAAGAAAAGAACTGTCATAATAAACATCCTTGCAAGTTCATTTATTTCCTGTTATTGTAAATCATCACACAGAATACACTAAGGCTGTGAATCAATGAAGAATATAATTCTCGTAATGTGACTGAATGGTGACTTACAGTGAACTTGGGTAAAGGAAATTTGTAGGTACCCACAAGTTCCATCATCAGGTCAACCAAATCAGAAAAGGGACTGTCAAGAACCATTCCTGCGATCGAGGGATCCCCAGCTCCATACATCAGGCTGTGAGACATCATCAATGGTAGATAAGTAAATAGAAGTGCCTCACACTGCAACAGATCCACATGACCATAAACCTAGACTAATGACACAACATGAAAAAAGATGTATAGTAGTTAATGAACAGAACCTAGCGACAGCACCCATTGAACGGCCCCATAAGCCAATCAAAGAGACATTTCCATCTTGCCGCAAATAATCAACGACAGCCATGAGATCATCTTTCTAGAAAACAACCAAAGAATGTCTGATGGTGACTTTCGACATTGAAGAGCAACAATTGCCAATATAAAAATAAATAACCAGGTGGTGTCTAAAAAATTTCTAGGAGATCAACAAACATTTCAACAATCAATGCATAAGATATATGTGTAGTTGCACAATGAGCACCCAACTTCCCTCAACAGATTTTGATAGGATGCCCACAACTTACTTCATTCCATCCTAAAGTGACATAATCTCCTCCAGAAATTCCAGATCCTGAGAAATCGAGAGTGAGAACTGTGATGTTTGAAGGCAGCAATACAATAGCAGCTTCACTAGCATCAACCCTGCACCCACTGCAAAAGCAAAGATACACTGCCAATTAGTAACAATCAGTTTTGTGAAACAAAAGTTGAAGAAATAAATACAAAATCTTAATTAAGTTGATTTTTAATAGAACTGCCAATCAATCCCACTTTCTCTGCTCCATTTTAACAAGGGTTTAACAAGGGTAAACAGAAGGTAATATTTAGCACCAAGATAAAGAAAGAACTTATGCTTGATGACTATAGAAAATTCTCTTTCTAATTTGATCTGTATTTTCATTCTTCATCATCCAAAATTCTGAGTTTCTACAAGAACACT